AGGTTCTGTGATGTTGGACTGGAGGATATCATGTCTTCTTCTGCAGGCGGCTGTCTTGCTGCTGCTCAGCAAGGGGGAGAGGATGTGCCCCGCGAGTTGTCGCTGTGAAGGGAAGATTGTTTATTGCGAGTCTGGCATCTTCCAAGACATTCCAGAAAACATCACCACAGGATGCCAAGGTCTGTCTCTGCGCTATAACAACCTGCTGGTGCTGCTGCCCTACCAGTTCGCTCATCTCAATCAGCTGATCTGGCTCTACTTGGACCACAATTCCATCAACGCTATAGATGCTTTAGCCTTCCATGGCGTGCGCAGGCTCAAGGAGCTCATCCTCAGTTCCAACAAGATCACCCGTCTGCACAATAACACGTTCAGCGCCATACCAAACCTGCGGAACCTGGACCTATCCTACAATCAGCTACAGTCTCTGCAGCCGGGACATTTTTATGGTCTGCGCAAGCTACAGAATCTCCACCTTCGATCTAACGGGCTGAGACAGATCCTCATTCGTACCTTTCTGGAAAGCCGCAGCCTGGAGTTTCTGGACTTGGGTTATAATCGCTTGCGGAGCCTCACCCGCACAACGTTCTTAGGGCTGTACAAGTTAAAAGAACTTCATTTAGAGCACAATCAATTTTCCAGGATTAATTTCTTCATTTTCCCACGCCTTACCAACCTGCAGGCTCTTTATTTGCAATGGAACCGCATACGGTCCATCAATCAAGGCGTGCCGTGGACGTGGCACAAACTACAGAAACTGGACCTGTCTGGGAACGAAATCCAAATCTTGGACCCTGCGGTTTTCCAGTGCATGCCGAACTTACAGACACTCAACCTCGAATCAAACAAGCTCAGCAGTGTGCCTGTGGAGGCCGTGGCGGCGTGGACGTCGCTAACCACCGTCAGCCTGGCGGGAAACGCCTGGGACTGCAGCCCCAGCATCTGCCCTCTCATGGGCTGGCTCAAAAACATCAGAGACTCCAAAGACATCAGCATGATCTGCAGCAGTCCCAAGTCTGTGCAGGGAGAGAGAGTGGTGGACGTAGTGAGGAATCACTCCACCTGTGTGGATGTGTTCTCCACAACGGCGCTCATCATTCTCACTTCAACCCCATTTGTGAACATAACAGCTCACCTCCCTCCCTCTGGTGTTCCCCATGCGGCTCGCACCGAGTCGCCTGCACAGGGATTAACCCCTTCTTCGCCCGTCCGTCCTGGTGTTACAGACAGAAAGACGACAGAGTCCACAACCCTGAGCTCCGCATCTCCCATCTCCCCTGAACCCCCGACATCGTTTATCCCGGAGCTACCGTTCGAACATATGGCTTTCCATAAAATCATTGCAGGCAGCGTAGCCCTGTTCCTGTCGGTGTCATTGATCCTTCTGGTTATTTATGTGTCGTGGAGGCGCTACCCCAACACCATGAGGCAGCTGCAGCAGCACTCAGTCAACCACAAGCGCAGGAAAAAGGCCCGCAAGCAGGAGCAGGACCTTAACTCTCAGTTGCAAGAGTACTACCTGAGCTACCACTCAAACTCAGAGACAATGGACACTCTGGTGAATGAGACGAGGCCGTGCACGTGCACCATATCAGGATCCATAGAGTGTGAGGTCTGAGCCACCTTAAGAGACTAAAACGGCAATTGCTAAGCAGAGGTAAAATGTTTTTTCCAAGAGATTAAGTGGTTTTATCTCTAATGCGAGATGATAGATTCTGCGGCTCTGAAGGAAATACTTGGGGGCATAGTACAATATAATTATGTGCACAGAGGAGAACACTGGAACGGAGAGATATATTTGGAGCTAATTATCACCCTGAGTGACACAAGAACAGTGGCGGGGTCAGCCAGGTTAGCTCTGTACGATCTAAGGTAACGACTGGTCGGCTCTGCAGAGACTGACCTTATTCTTAGTCGAACATCCAACATATGAACCAAGAGAAGCCACTTTTCACTTGCTAGTTTTGAGTTTCATCCTGTAGCTTGTGGAGAATTTAGGCTGTATGTGTGTGTGTGTGTGAGTGTGTTATGAGCTGATCTCATGAATCTCCTGGTTTACTGACTTCTAGCTACTGTGTTGCACCTTACTCTCACAGATACTATTTGTCCAGTTAAGCCACAAAATAACCAACCGGGGGAGAGAGAGCGTCCTGTCCTGAGATCTTTTGCATGAATTCATTATCCTCTCTCTCATTAAACGATCACTTCTAATTGACAATAAAGACGTATTTTGGTTCGTTGTGGTGCAAGCCGAATATTTAAAACTCACGAGTCTGAACTCAGGAGCGATATTTTCCAAGCTGTAAAAACCTGTCAGGCCCAATGTTGGCCTCGATGTGTCAAAAAGTAACGATTTTCATAAAGACTTTTGTATTGATTATTCCTATCATTATGATTATGCATTGTTTGTGTAAAGACAATATGGATACTAGGCATTCTATGTGATAATGTGTAATTAAAAGAAACACTGACAACTGAAAAATGAAAGTGTGTGTGTGTGTGTGTGTGTGTGTGTGGTGAGGATATTAACGACCAGAGAGAAACGTCCCTTCTCTTAATCCTCGCATTGTGCTCTTGATGTTTCACATTTCATTGGATTTTCTGCTGCATGAGAGGAGAGCTGAGATATTTTCCATCATGTCTCTTGTCTCCTGGCTCGACAGTATTGACAGCAGTATTGATTGTATCTGGGTGACACACCTCAAACTCAGAGTAGGGGGCCCTTGTCTGTGCCTGGGACATTAAGTGAGCAGAAATGAGCTGTTTTTACTGTCAGTTTTCTTGGAAACAGGTTTTGCTTTTAGTGGAGCTCAGTACCATCATCAGACAAAAAGATCCTCCAGTCCCTGAAACCAGAAACAGATTTACGAATCTCCCTTTTATATAAGCGTGTATTCTGTGTCAGTGCTGTTCTGCTGCTGTGAAAAGAAAGGGAGAATAGAGGAAGGCTACTGAGGGACAGTGGGTGTTACGGGTCAAAGCGGTTATGCTATTAAGAAGATGTCACCCACCTTGCTCTGTCTTCCTTTTTTCCCTGAATCGTTTTTTTCTTTCTTCCGGCTCGCTCACTGTAAGGAGAGAAAATTAACCTGTGCCAGGGGACGTATGTGCGTGTGTTAAGCCAAGCAGGATTAAGCAGCAATGCTGGTGCTAGAATGTAAAAGCTTTTTTAAAAAAAGTAGGTGTTTTCTTCCAGTGTAACACTCAACTAAAGACAATAATCTACTGCTTACTACAGTCCTCCCCAGTGGGGTGCTGGTGCCTGGAGAGGTGAGGATACTCTTTAATTTATGCCCCAATCTTTTTCTTTCCTACGGAGCCCCCCTGGTGACATTGGATAAAAAAATAATAATGCGTGGCCACGCGTTCTTATCTCGTGGCCACGAGATAATTATTGCCCAGGTCATTTCCATGGCAGAGAACTGGTTGATTGGTTAACCATGGACATAGTGTTGAATTTATTTTATTTTATTTTAATTCATAGGAATTGAATTACACACACACACATCACACACACACAAATGAGACTGATTTGCGGACTTCATGTCTTCTTCGCGGGCGTTTGCCAGCTTTCCGATGACGTCACTTCATAACGTTCCCATGGCAACAGAAATAAAAATGGCTGCTCTTGTGTGAAGTAAACGCAACATTTTTCAACTTTCTGCTAAGATATATGTGACGAAAATGCAGGGATTATGAAATCATGCAAGCCCCGCATATTTTGCGCATTTTGCGTGGAAATCGGCGATTTATAAGTGCGGCGTCTTTGAAAAAATGCGGCCCCCGCATAAATGTGCGGACTTTGGCTGATTATGCGTTGAATTATCATTGCACAATCGCATTTTTCTGGGGAGATGCATTTAGCATTACCAACAGTGACATGTCCGCCTTCACTTAGACGTAACGCTCCTCCAGCCCGTCAGTAGCATTTATTATCGACATTACACTCGCCATGACAATAAGGAACAAAGCTTACTCTGAATACAACAGCAGACTATAATTTACATTTATTCATGAATAATAAACAGCATCACTGACAGCTCCATATGGATAACCATCCCGCTACTGAAGGTGACCACGCATTATTTTTTTTTAATCCAATGTCACCAGGGGGGCTCCGTACTTTCCGGCCAGCAAAGGATAAAATCCTTGCATATTTAGCTCACCCAAAAAAGGGGACGAGTAGGATTTGCACATTTAGGGAGTTCGGATCATTATGAAATTAGCTAAAATTATATGTCATGCCCTCGCCATCCTAGAAAGTAAACACTTTTTAATGATGCAGAGAGGATTTAGAAGTGGATGTACCTGTGTTGGGCTCAAAAGAATGTAATCTATTAATCATTATTACTCCCTGTCAATAGTAATCAGTTACACTATTAGTTATTTATATTTTCTGCTACTCAATATATTCTGCTAAAGACTTACAATGATTAAAATCCAGTTTTCGCTGTTGTGATGGAATATTTCCAGTCGCTGAATATAAACTAGTTTCCTCCACGTTTACAGAAATCAATCCAAGGATGTGATTGGATTGTTGGATTTCAGATCAGCAGGAGTCCCAACAAATTGAAAGTTGTGTAACTAATTTCTTTTTATGATGAGGTAACTGAACGTATTGAAACTGAAACAGATAATTTTTAGTTATTATTATTCATCAAAAACAGGCTCCATAACTCTGCTAGCTGCACACGTGTTAGAGGTGGCAAAATATGGGTCTCACACATGGGCGTGGCAAAACGGCTCGATCGTTTTATCAATATGTATGAAATTCAATATGTATGTATGTATCATATCCAGACGTACAAAAAAGCCCCAGTGTGCCAGACCCAGCGGGAAGTTTTTGAATTTAGTGGTAATTTTTGCCGTTTCACACACATTGTATTTTATTGAAATCCTCCAAGGGAATTGATAAGATCAACTTCAGATTTGGTCTGTGCAATCTAAAGATCATCACAATTAAAAGTTGAGCTTGTTGTGACTGTGTGTTAAACGGCGTGGCCTTAGCGTGGCGCCAAATTTCGATGTATCGCCATTAAACAGGAAATTGTTGTAATTTCGTCCAATCTCGACCAAACTTCAACATGTTTGATAAAAGTCCCCCCCAAACACATCTACATGTCAATATTCAGTCATACTCATAGCACCACCTACTGGAAGCGGAAAGTAAGCCTTGTATGGCAGTCGTGATCTTATCTTTCTCCACTTGATATGCTGTCAAGGGCCCGATCATCACTGCCTGCAGCTTTAATACTTTATTATACTGAAATGTATTAGTATTTAGATACACTACTACTTACTGGGGAAATCAGTGTTATTACTATTATATTATTACAAGTTATGCCTTACTGCCTAACACTAATGCAAACTGAGGAATAAGTGCGTATACGCTGCCCTACACCGCTGGTCCTCCTCTGTTGCTTCCTCCGACCTGCTGCGAAGTAAACACACATCTGATTCCTTCTCCTTGTTATCAGCCACTAGCATGTTCACACGTCTCGTGTACAGTAAAGTTTCAGACTGGTCAAAGGTTGTTCTGATAAGGATTTATGGCTCTCCCATAACTCACTGTCTAAACATCACTCAGGCTTTCTTTAGCCTGCAGGCAGGCATGGAGGCATGCTGCCAACAGAATTTATATCCGTATATTTGGTTTCCAGCACTTGCATATATGATGAATTTCCTTCAAGGACCATTGGAAAAATCTGCGAGGCTGTACAAAAAATGTAATATGAACAGAACAAATGATTCGTTGATCTAATTTTGGCAGATATTGTAATTAGTGTTTGATTTGTCATATTGTGACTGATGGAGAGCAATTTGTTTTGAAATCTTTTGCTGTTGTGTAGCTAAGAAAAGAATGCTGATTAGAGAGAGCTGTGGTCTGCATCTCACAGATCATTATTGAGGATATTTGTTTGGATGAGAAATTGTGGGAGTGCACAGTATTGACTTAGTACAACAATGCACAAATAGATCCACACTCCACCAGGAAAATCTGAAGAAGGAAAAAGAAGAAGAAAAAAAAAGCCTCCAAGAAATGAAAAATGTCTTTTTGAGTTAATCGAGGTACCTCATACACTGCACCAAGGATCACCAAGTAGATGAGCAAGGCCAAAAACAGAATCAGTGAAATCATGCCTGCAAACATCCAGAAATGCGGTATGTTTTCTCTGTGCTTCCTGTAAACACTCACTGTGAGGGGTAACTCGCTCAGCCCTCACTGGCAGCCATGAAATTTTGATTTACATCTCTCACTGGGGATCTTTTCTAAGGTAATATGTGTGCAACGTTCTGTTCATCTTTGCCAAAGGTTACGCTGGTGATTTAAAAGGCAGTCACAATAAACTAAAAGCAGCATGGATGATATTTCATCACTATCAAACAGCCACATATCTTCTTTTTATCTGCCGGCTTGATTTCCATTTATGAGGTAAGTCATTTAAAGTAATAGTTCTACATTTTGGTTAAAAAAAAAGCTTATTTTCTCTTTTTCTGAGAGTTAGATGGGAAATCGTTCTCATCATCTGTCCAAAGATAGTAATAATACTAATTAACCTTATTTATGACCTCTCAAAACTGTGCTTTACTGGGTAAAAACAACAAAAACAACAGCAATCATGGAGGTGTTAATCATAAAACTCTAAGAACAACAGCAGCATTAGTGAACAACATTCAGAAAAAGACATAATCACCATAAAACATCAGTAAGGAGATAAAACCTCGGTGTTTAAAAGGTAAGAGACTATAAAAGTGTGTTTAAAGAAGAGACTTAAA